AAGATCCCGAGATTGATGTCCAAATCTCTGGCTTGCCTCTCTTGAAACACGACGAGATCCCTTCTTTCCTTCATCCTTCAACATCTTATCCCGCTTTACGAGAAGTGATCACTGATCAGATCAAACGTCTTCACAAGCCATTCGCTGTTCTCGTCGACTCTTTCTACTCCTTGGAGAAAGATATCATCGACCACATGTCTAGTCTCTCTCTCCCCGGCGCTATCAAACCGCTCGGGCCGCTTTACAAAATGGCCAAAACGTTAATATGTGATGACATTAAAGGAGATATGTCGGAGACAACGGACCATTGCATGGAGTGGCTAGACTCTCAGCCTGTTTCCTCCGTTGTTTACATCTCATTCGGAACCGTCGCTTACGTAAAACAAGAACAGATCAACGAGATTGCGTTCGGTGTGTTAAACGCTGGCGTTACGTTCTTGTGGGTGATTAGACAGCAAGAGTTAGGTATAAACAAAGATCGTCATGTCTTGCCTGAAGAAGTCAAGAACAAAGGAAAGATCGTGGAGTGGTGTCAGCAAGAGAAAGTCTTAGCTCATCCTTCTGTGGTTTGTTTTGTTACTCATTGTGGATGGAACTCGACGATGGAAGCTTTGTCTAGTGGAGTCCCAACGGTTTGTTTGCCACAGTGGGGAGATCAAGTCACCGACGCGGTTTACATGATAGACGTTACGAAGACGGGAGTGAGACTCGGCCGTGGAGAGACGGAGGAGAGGGTGGTGCCTAGGGAGGAAGTGGCTGAGAGGCTGAGAGAAGTGACCAAGGGAGAGAAAGCGATGGAGCTGAAAAAGAATGCTTTGAAATGGAAGGAGGAGGCGGAAGCGGCGGTGGCTCGCGGTGGATCGTCGGATAGGAATCTTGAGGAGTTTGTGGAAAAGTTGGGTGGGAAACCTGTGGCTAAACAAAATGGAAGTCTTAATCAAAACGGAAGTGCTCAAGAACTTTTATTGGAAAAGTCATAAATGTGATTTGTTCTTTATCTCTGTCAATCCTTAATTGTGTTTGTGTGTATGCTCCTCGTCGTTCTTTGTGTTTTGTTTTCTTGTATGGGTAAGGGAGACTAACTAGCCGTCTTGAATAATGTTACTTCACGTATTATGCTGTATTATGGTTATAATTATCTTGTTTTGTTGCTAAATCAGGAATTTAGTCTGTATATATATATAACGTGGTGTAATCTGTACCATGCAAAAGCAAAAATGCTAAAACTTACTAATACTGCACTAAGAGCAGGTTTATTGCCAAAAGGCGCTTAAATTTTTTTGTTTTTTTTTTGTTTTTTGTTTTTCTAATTTAACAAGAATAAAAAATAAAAAATTGAAAATGCAACCAATCGCGGGCCGCCATGTATCATGGGGCCCGCGGAATAATTCAAACACTCAGAAAAAATCGATGCTTATTTTGACATCAGGGGTATCAACTTTTGTATTTTTATGGGCCCCCTTACCTTTTTCCCCTAAGCGCCCCAACCCCCCTCCTGGATAAACCTGCTCTAATACCCGTTTAGCCGACGTAAAAAGATCATCTAGTAACTTACATGAGAGTTTATGGTGGTGTTAAGAAAACAAAGAGTTTATGGTAATAATGATATTATTATTATATAGTATCATGTTTATCAATGATCCGATTGGAGATTACAAACATTGATAAAGCGAAAATAAAAATCAAATATGGTTTTGCTTGTATATTTATATTAATTAATTACCTCCGCTATTCACAACTTTGAACCTCAGGACCTCAGATAAACATAATTAGCAGTATGTCTCATCAACGTCTCGAATCTTTGGAAATTAACAACACAGACTGGCAGAAACACGTGTTGGTTAGAGCACCTTCATCAAAAGTTCAGATGGGAGTTCATACGTTTTTAAAAAAAAAAAAAATTAAAATAAGGAATAGTGATGAATCCGCCTCTTACAGGTTCTCTGTAATGAACCCGGTTCATCATTGTAACGCGGACCCCACGACAGATACGCGATTGATCTATTTTTTAAAAAAAAATACAAAAAAAAAAATAATAATAATAAAAAAAAATTGTATCATTGAACCTCCAGAGGGGGTTCACCGATGGGGATGCTCTTAGTATCTGCATGGGATTACAGTGTATTTGTTCTGATTTTTAAACTGTATATAGCTCGTGAGTCATTCTAGTTTTTATTTTATTTTATTAGTTGTAGCTAGATTGTTGAAAGTTAGATTGTTAACCAATTAATCACTTTCTCATTGACCAAAAAAAAGAGTAAACACTTTCTTTTAAGGGAAAATTGCCAAATATGACTCAAAACTTGATTTGAAATGCAAAAGTAAACCCAAACTTGAATCAAATGCAAAAGTAACTTAAAAGGCTATTGAAATTACAACCAACTCCTTGTGAACAAACAAAAAACGCGAATTTTTTTTACGTTTCTAGCCCTCGCAAGTCGTCTGCCCAGACGACTTTAAAATAAGTCG